GGGAGCCCGATGCGGGGCTCGATCCCAGGACCCTGGGATCATGACCTGAGCCGAAGGCAGACGCTTAACGACTGAGCCACCCAGGCGCCCCAGTTCTTCCCAGTTTTAACTAAGCTTTAATCTATGTAAAAGCAAGGGTGGCTCAGTCAGTTAAGCATCTGACTCTTGAGCTCAGCTCAGGTCTTGATCTTAGGGTCGTGAGTTCAAGCCCCACATTGTGCTCCACGTTGGGTGTGGAGCCTACTTTAAAAAAATTTTTTTTTAATTAAAAAAAATAAAATAAAAGCAAGGATCTCAAGAATTTTTGTCTTAATATTTTCTGTAGCTATAGTATCTAACTCTCTATCTTCTACTCAATAAATGTTTTTTATTAAACGTCTAATAGCAAATAACCCTGCCAGCAGATTAGATTTCTCCTCCATGTTTCTTTGGTTTGTTTGTTTTTTAGTTTAGCTTTGTTTTTTATTTAATAAATAGTTACTGAGTTCTACTGGTGCTAGACATTATAAGTACAACACAGAACAAGATAGGCACTGTAGGATACAGGTGAAGAAACAGAAAAATAGCCAAGCAGTGCACCAAATCATAAAAAGAGTGATAGGGATGAAAGTAGGGGCCATGAAATAGAAAGGACGGACCACACTCTGGAGGACAGAACAGCCAAGCTGAGGCTTGAAGGATGACATAAAAACAGGGATGAAAGCTGCAGACAAAGGGAACAGTATGTGTGAAGGCACATTCTCAAAAAGAGAACATGAAACATTCTAGGAATGGACAGATCAGTACTTTGGGAGGATGAAGTTGGAGTGGGTGTGGCACAGGGAAATGGAGACTGGAGAACCAGAAGGTGCCAGAACATGAAGGGCTTCATCATCCTAAGATAGCTCGTTTCCAAATTTACTCAGGGGGCAATATAAATAGGCATATATGGTTTTGAAATAAATACAGCAATATCTTTTTTAAGGTAATATAGCAATATATTTCAAGAGCAAGAAAAACGTTCACCTGCTCTGAATCAACAATCCTACCCCTGAGAATTTATCTGAACAAACT